GGCTTGAGCCTGTACCTCCATTCGATTTCAATTACTTTCTGCAGCTTTTAGATACAGAGACGTGCAGTATACAGATATGCTGAAGAGATAAGTAAGCATTTGGAACCTTTCTGGTTCTTCTTTGAAGGAATGCAAATTACATCAGTTACTATGCCAGAATGCCTCACACATCAACATGTCTCATGGCCATTGCTTTAAAGTCCACAGGTGAAACTTTAAACATGAACAGCCATTTATACTATTGAAGTTTTGCCTATGCATCTTCTTCTGCACTCAGCCACATTTCTTTGAGAGTAAAGAGACAACAGCCACACAAGCTCCACAGAACAGCTCAAATTCAAGTCTGCAGTGATGCTTCTGCTACACTGACAAAAGGGCAAAAAATATATATTTTGCTATTGTTCTGGTCAGAAGAAAAGAAAAGTAATGACAGGATAGTAGTAAGACCTGGAAATTACAGGAAATATCTTAGAAATATGAGAAAAATCTCTTTAGGATAATAAAAAAAAACTCCAATGAAGAATGGCAGGAATGTGGTAAGAAATTCTGTATATAAGATTCCAGGTTCTAGTGAGGACAGCAACACCAAAACACACCAGCTAAACTACCCACCAAGCCACAGCCTCCCTCAGAAGTCCCAACCAACCTCCTCTTTGCAGCGCCAAGTCTGTGCTGATAGAAAGCCACTAAGTTTTACATAGCCTATAAGGCATGACTTAACTACATAAAGCATTCCAAGAAACTCTGGTAAACCCAAGTTTTTCCAAAGCAGTATGTGACCAGCAAGCACTGTCTAGCCTCTTATTTTATTCTCTGGTATGTAGATAATCCTCATGAGTACTAAACTACTCTGATCAAACATTCTCTTTCAAGGCTCATTTTCTTGTGTCTATTCAGTTACCTTTCATGGATCATATTTCAGCCTCTAAAATCACAATGGAGAAACTGGCCAAGAATTAGCCAAGAACAGAGACTTGCTCAGTGTAGGTGGTTGGCCTTTAGGGCAGAATTTGTCATCTTGAAAATACTGAAGTGAACGCAGCCCAACTTAGTAGCAAACAATTGTTTCCTGGCGGACAACATTAAGCTCTCTTAAGCTATTCTCTGTGTGATCAATTCACCAATTAAAACACCAGCACATCAATTCCTTTTATCTAACTCATTATTTATAAGTCATCCAGCCAGCCTCCTTAAGCACTTTGGATATATCCAATCTTCACAACACCTGTTCATCAGAGACAAACATCATCATACTAGGCAGGCAACACAGACCAGTTACCAACAGGTTACGTGACTCTCCCTTCACAGGACGTCTATGGCAAAGCCTTGAACTGACTTAAGGTCATTTCCATCCTGGTCCACTTTAATCTTCTTTACTATTTCATACCCTTGCTCAATACTCTGATCACAAGTTAAAGTACTGAAAAAACACACAAATATTCCTATCTCAAGGCAGAGCTGACAGGACTCTGTGAGAAACTCCATATTTGTTGGAGATTTGTATTTCTTTACAAAGTGAAACATTTACATAATGCCCCTCACTGTCATTAATATGCAAGGTCATTAACTGGGATTTGGATTCATAAGTCCAATTAACGTCAAAGGAAGCTGAACAGCAAAATAGCTCATTTAGCTCCCTGAATATACACCCAACAGATCTCTATCAAACTAATTAAAGAATGACATTCCAGGCTGAATGTCCAGTCACTGCACCCCCTTGGGGCAAAAGTACCCCAGGTGCCCCCAAACAGAGCAGGCACATGATATCTAAACTGCTACCAGACAAGTGCTGGAAACAGCTCCCGTACAAATGCTACAGCTGAACCCCCCTAACTAATTGCACGGACTTCAGGAAACTATCATGTGGCCTGCCTGGTGTTCAGTAACAGAAGCCCAACACAAGAGAGGAAGCTGTGGAGAAGTCAGGAGCAAGCCAGAACATAGAAGTAATCTACCCCACTGGTACGGTGGAGATAAGTATGTAGCTGATGTAACACATGTAAGAAACCCTGAACTCATCTAGTCATAATCTGAGGAAATGCAAAGAGATAACTTGTCCTCCCCATTCTCACGCTAGGATCATGGTCTTAACAGAAAACATTATGAAGAACCTCTACTCATCTAGAACTGTGGTTTCAAAACCAGCAAATGGCCTTTTACTTTTTAAGGGGGGAAAAAAAGGGAGTATGCAGTTTACACCTTCTCCTTCTCGTGAGCAGACTTCATTCTTCAGGTACAGAAGGAAAAGAAGGACTTAAGCAAGGGCATGGCCATCCTGTTAAACAGCAGTAACACTAGCACAACTTCTTAGTGGAAGCCAGATGCTGCTTTGTGGAGAAATTGAAACAATACTGATTGGGGTACTTACTAAATTCACGACTTCTGAAACTGAGCCAGTATCTGTCTCAGCTGGACATGGCAGATCATGAATCTCTGTCCCTTATTCTTATGCAGTATAGATGTGCCTTAGATCATTAACTTCCCCAAATATACTGTAAAGAAGTGCTGATACACTTTCCTTGTATTCAGTATATGCTAAGGACACACCAAACTTTCCTACTAAACAAGCTGGAACATTTTCCCTGCCATGCAGTACTCGAAATACTCATTCCGCTGCTGCTCCTGGAAGAGACCTCACAAATATGTATTTTTCTCCTGAACTCTTTGGCACACTGCCTTTAACGCTTCCAGTATGTTACTACTATGGATCTCAGATCCGAGTTGTGGACCAGGGTCACTTGGTGGAAAGATGATACATACCTTCACTCTAACTCTAGTATCACGGAATATTCCAGACCATATCCCCAGGCTCCGCTACTACACCCAAAAATATTACAGCAGAAAAGGTGAATGGCAGATTCAAAGTGGATGAGCAGCCAGGGGCTGATCTGCAGATGATGCAGTCTGCACCTGATCAAGATGAAAGCAGGAAAAGGGCATGGTCAGGATTCTCCATCCCGCACCCATCTTGGCTGTATTTCTGGTCATTGCCATTGCTCTATTTTCAAGGCTATTCTTTCACAGTGTTAGGAACCAAGTCGTCACAGTGCTGTTCTTTAACAAATACCAAGCAAAGATGAACTTTTATCTAATTTGCACATCATGCAGGTGAACTCCAGCCCAAGATGTAGCCCAGTGTGCTGATCTGGAGTCTGGCAGTAGCTTGTTAGTAGAGAACGAAGAGGAAGCTCAGAGCGCTGGTGACAGCAACATCTTCCACACTGTCTGAGGTCGTGTGGCAGAACCATACAAAGGACCGCACAACCAAAGCTTTTATTCAAATTCTCTAGTGCACCCTTCATTTTGTAAAACGTCCAGTAATATTGAGTGCATTGTTACTGACAAGTCTAACGTTAACAGCTTACTTCATCATAGCTACACCTGTGAAGGCATTAGCTTTATTTAAAAAGATTAGGATTTACAGTGGGGGAAAAAACCCAGGTAAACAAATACAACATTAAGAACACTGGAAGAAGAAGATAAAAAGGTAGGCATATCTGTAAAGAGGCAGTAGGCAAGTGAAAAAGGAAGAAATAGGGTAACGACTAGCTAACTAATTCATAGGGAATGAGAATGTACTTAAAAACAGAGACCATACACTGTATTAAAGATGAAAGGTGGTAAATGGGAAGATAAAGAGCCAAGTTTTCTCCAATCACAGTGCCAAGTAAACATAATCTAATTCTAATGGAGCTACTGGGAATTACTCATCCAGCTGTTCTCAGCTGCCCAACCTGTGTTGGAAATGCATGTGTCTGGCACCGGTCATGCCAGACCTATGCTTCATCCATTCCCCATTGACTTGAGGCCCCTTGTGGACTGCAGCTGACAGGAGTTTAGAGCAGCAAAAGACTGCTCTTATTCCTTCCCTATTTGGTGACTGCTCTGCAATAACTATCTCTTCAATCCCTAATTTTCCTTGCACAAAGCTGCACCAAGCATATCTGAAAGGAGCAGGGGGGAATAATAAGATGGTAAAAATACTCTGAGAAGAGTAATATTGTGGTAAAAAAGTGTCACCTCTGTCAGCAGCTAATAGTTGATACCCAGGAAGACTACAGGACAGGCCAAATTCATAGCAACACTCCTCCATACTCTTATAAACTCTACCATCTCTGACTAAAGTACTTCTGAATAAGAAGGGGTACCTTTGCATTTGATAGACCTCAATCAATTTCTTGCATGGATTTGTTGAGGTGCTTTTTGAACCCATGCAACCTTTTAGCATCCATTACATTCTCTAATAAGGCAAGTCTAAGCATTTCACATCTTAACTATGAGCTGTGTGAAGTAGTATTCTCCTGTTTTGAACACGGCACTTGCTAGTTTGTTTTGACGCTTCCTAGTGGTTCTGTCAGAAGGGACAGTGAATAATTTTGCCTATTTACTTTCTCCACAGCAATCAGAATTTCCAAAATGAGATCTCAAATAGCTCTACAAATGGGGGCAGTGCCACCTCCCCCATTTTACAGGTGTACAAATAGAGGCAGGAAGAAGGGAGAAGGCTTACTCAAGATAACCTAGCAGGCTAAAGGAAAAAGTAGGCATAGAAACTGTATTATTTTAGTTCCTACCTACTGTCCTAGCTCTATGATGATATAACCTTTCAGTTTCTGGAATATTTATTTTCAGTAAACAAACACTGATCTAGATGTAAAAGAAAACAAACACACTGAGAAGCATCATCACTTATACTGAAGGCTGCAATTTAGAAGAAAAACCCTTTAGACCATAAGACAGCCCTCCTTTCTAACCAAGTATCACCATTATACACACTCCTGCCCATTTTTACACGATTCCTTACATTTCATTCATGGCTAGAGGCCAAAGGCTCATCAGCAAATTATCCCCTACTACCAGCCTAGATACATATATTTACAAACTAAAGAAATCACATAGATTCAGCCCCTTCCTCTGTCTACCTCACTTTTAATTCAAGTTTTTACTTCAATTTTACAAATACTCACAGCTCCACAGGATTCAACATTAAATGTTCTTACCTTAGCTGATATGGAGGTATCTTGATAGCAGCATCAGGAGAATCCAAGGTTTCTGTATAACCAAAGGAAACAATAGGGCTTTTAAAAGAAACTTGTGATTTCAACCATAGTAATACATCTGGCTACAATCTCTGACCCAATGATCCTAAAGTTTACACCTACTCCAGCTGACAGAACAACATTCACTGCTGCTCCAAGTATGCAAAGATTTGCATGAATCTATCAGGACACTGGGTGCCCAATGAGAAGGCACTGAGTACCATCTTTTCCTCAGTGAACTCCCTTTCACGTTATCAGCACTTCAGCAGCACATATACTAAAACTGGAACAGTATAGAGGATATTAGCATGGCTGCTGTGCAAGGATAACACACAATTAATGAAGCAACCCGTGGAACATCAAGCTGAAAGGTCAGTAATAAGACAGCAACAGGTATGAACTACCACAGATTGCTGTAACTATGGACAAAAAATAAAAATTTAAAGCAATTTTCAGTATTGCAATTATGCTGATGTAAGTTAAGGGTCTTGCTGACTAGTGCTCCAGGTAGTTAGCATCAAAAGCACTTCAAGTCACAGCCAATCTCTGAAAATGGGTGGATGCTGAAATTTACCTAAGCTCATATTCCCTTAAAAGAAGAACTTGGTTTATTGATCATTATTTCTATTATAGAACAAGGATAAAAAAAGCTCATGGAATCCAGTCAAAAAAATCCAGCTTTTAAAATAGATGCCTGAACATAAGCCAGCAGTGGAAACTGTACTGGAGATTTTTTTACGATGGAAACGGGTGGTGAGAGGGAGAAGCTTTTAGAGGAAAGACACACACACACCCCCCCAACATACACAGAAACTGGCAGCTACTGATACCCATATCTGCCTCGCAAGAACTGAAGCAGACCCAAGAGGTGGGGGTGGCGAGGGACACGGATGCTCTCCGGGACCGCCAGCAGGTGCCACAGCCCCCTCCAGCAGCGCGGTGCTCCCGGGCATTTTGAACCGCCTGAGGCGCTCCGGTCCCTCCCCACCCGCTGGAAGCTCAGCGGCCAGCGCCGAACAAGTTTGTTGAGGTCTCCCAGCCCCCGCCGTTACAAAACCTCCCCATCCGAGGCT